CAGGCAGCCCCACAGGCAGCCCCACAGGCAGCCCCACAGGCAGCCCCCACTCGGCGCAGCTCCGGCTGTGGGAGCAGCCCCTGCACTGCAGCCTCTGTCTGCGCTGGGGATGGGGGCTCCTGCGTGATGGCAGAGTGGAGGAAAGCGCCTTACGCCAATTAGCAGCGGGTAATTAGAGGCTTCGGAGCTCCCATTGCAGCTCTAAGGGGAGCAGCTCGCTCCGTGTCCACGCTGGAATGGGTTTAAGTGTATAAACAGGGAAGGGGAGGAAGCCCCTGACAGCACGGCAAAAAGGGAAGGAAAGCGCCGAACATCAATTAACACGGGGTAATCAACCACAGCCATCAAACCTCCCAGTGCAGCTCGCGGAGGAGCAGCTCATCCACACCCCGGTCAGACTGAGGCGCACGAATAACGGCAAAGAGCGGAGGAAAGCAATTAGTGCACGGAAATGATTGACTTCCAGCCTCCCGCTGCAGCTCATAGGGAGCAGCTCCCATTGCAGCTCCCTACAGCAGCTCCCATTGCAGCTCCCTACAGCAGCTCCCATTGCAGCTCATAGGGAGCAGCTCCCTACAGCAGCTCCCATTGCAGCTCCCTACAGCAGCTCCCATTGCAGCTCCCTACAGCGCACCCTGCACTGCTGCTCTGGAGAGATCTGGGTTATGAATGGCAGCAGGGAGCGAGGAAACCACCTTACATCCGTTAACTGGGGGGGATTACAGGTTTCCAGCCTCTCACTGCACCTCGTGGGGTGTCAGCTCGCTCCGTGTCCACACTGGGGCAGATTTAGGTGTCTAAATGGGGGCAAAAAGCACAGAAAGTGCATTGAACTGCGACAAAGAGCAGGAAAATCACCTTATATCAATTAATAGTGGGAAATAAGAGGCTTCCAGCCTCGCTCTGCATCCAGATTGGAGTCCATTTATGTACAGAAATGGCGGCAAAGAGCAAGGAAATCACCTTGTATCAATTAGCGGGGGCAATTATAGACTTGAGCATCCCTCTGCAGCTCACGGGGGTGCAAACTCACTCTGTATCCAGATTGGAGCCCATTTACGTATAGAAATGCCAGCAAAGAGCGAGGAAATCAGCTTCTATCAATTAACAGGGGGTAATGATGGGCTTCCAGTCTCCCACTGCAGCTCACAGGGGAGCAGTTCTCTCCATACCCACACTGGAGTTGGGAGGTGTATGGATGGTGGCAAGGAGCGTGCAAATCACCTAGTACCAATTAACGGGGGTAATTATCAGCTTGCTTCCAACCCCTCATCACGGCCCATAGGGGAGCAGCTCGCTATAGGGCACTCTCCACAACTGCTCTGGAGCAGCCTGAGGTGGCAAAGAGCATGGAAATCACCTACTATCAATTAACGGGGGGTAATTACAGCCTTCCAAGCTCCCATTGCCGCCCAGAGTGGAGCAGCTCAACTCCGTGTCCAGACTGGAGCAGAGTGAGGTGTATAAATGGTGGCAAGGAGCATGGAAATGACCCAGCAGCAATGAATGGGGGGGAATTATAGCCTTCCACCCTCCCATCGCGGCCCGTAGGGGAGCAGCTC